CTTTTTATAAACACAGATTTGCAAGTGGTTCCCGCTAATTTCCTCTCTTTTTTTATAAACTTTTTAGCTTTTCGTGGGTTTTATCGACCTTTTCTCGTTCCCTTTGGAAATAATAAAGTTTGGTGGTGACTTATGCTTCTTTTATTTAAGTTAATTAATAGCTTAATCTTAGTTTTTCCAGCCACAACAATGACCATTTGAACTACTTCCATACCGACGAGGCAACGAAGTATAAATAAATTTGCACTAAGACAAGCAGGATCTTCCAGACTCTGGTTCAAAGCTCTGTCGAATAGAAGTATTGATTCGTGAACCAATATGTGCAAGAGCTTAACCTCTCATTTTACAGTTTGACACAAGGAAAATAGTGATAATATCTACCTTGAGAGGGATAACGAATGGGAAGAAACAGAGCATGCAACCATACACTGTCTGTTTCATGCAAGTAGGTGTCGAAGTAGGATGAGCTGAAGAGGGCCTTAAGTGTTAGGTCTTAGATAATGGTCAAAGGCATGGTAACTTCTTCACGAATAAATTAGGATGCAAGGACACCTATAGTTTGAAAGAATCGCTGAATAGAGGGCAACCCTTTATTAACCTTGGGGAGCACCTTGGGTGAACATCCTGTTAAAAAGAACGATGAAGATGAAGATTGTAGAACTGATTGTCATCCATAAGAAAGATGGAAGCGCCTCAGCCAAAACCACAAATAGACCAATGCTTGGGTTCTAGAACAGTGAGAAAGTCAAGGAGAATGATATCTTCCCTCTAGTCATAACTACCACAATCTGCCATTTTAATGTATCACATATACTTATCGATGATGGCAGTGTAACACACCAATTTAATTAGCTATTTATTTATTTATTACATATTTATTTATGTGATTTATGACGTGTTTGAACGGTGGCAACACTTGTTGTGAATTGTGCTTGATTAGTTAGATTTTTGGTGGAATTTAATTAATTGAATAATTGGAAATTGTAAGGTTAGTAAGAGGTGTGGTAAAACATGTAATTATAGGAATATAGTAGTAACGAAGAGATCTTATGCTTTAGTTGATCCATAATTGAATTAAGAGAAATTTAATTAGGTTATAATATATATTAAGAGAAATATAAGAGAGGGAGGGTTTTTATAGAATTTATCAGTATGTGAAAAAAGAAGAGGAGAGCAAGAGCTTTTGGAGAGAGAACTAGAGCTTTAGGAGAAAAGACCATATAAGCTTGCTTGCTTGTGTTTTTGCTGAATTTACAAGGTAGAAGGATTATTCATATAAGGTGCCTTAATCATAAAAGGGCATAGAGGCATCTCTTAACATCCAATATGATTCTTTTTTCTCTATTATTTGATATTAATATGATAAATGATGTTTGGGATTATGTTTTTATGCCATGAATTGATGTGAATTTCGTGTTTGATGTTATGGTACTTTATTTTCATGAGTTAATTTATTTAATGATGAATTTGTGTTGAAATTAAGTGTTTTAAGGTATCAACATGATTGATTTAATTCATGATAAGATGATGGATTAAGTGTTTAGTCAATGAGGAATTGATGTATTAATCATAGTCTAATAAGTATAAGATGTTTCCTGTTTAACTTGGGTGATTGGGGATCAAAACTAGAGCTTTGATAGGGCTCAAATGGAAAAGTTGTGCTTCTGATTTTTGCAGGCCTATACGATCTCGCCCAGTAAGCTTCACCTGGTGAGAATAGCAGCACAAAGTTGTTATTTTCAACTCGATTTGTCATAACGTGAGTTTCCTGACTCGGATTATGGCGTGATTTAAAGCGTTGGAAAACTAATGTGAAGAGCTATCTTATGGTAGTGCCTTGTGATATAAATTAATATGTTTTAGTGATATGTGGATGTATCTTCAATGTGTGAATATATGATGTGAAATGTAAGTATAATTATGTGAGTTATTATACATACTTGCTGATGAATTGATGAGATGAGTAGTTCGAAATGAGAACTACTAGTGATGTATTGAATGCATGATTGTTTACAATTAGAAATGGGTATGTATTCATTGTTATGTTGTTGTTGTTTCATGATTATTTATAGTCAGATGTGGGGCTGTATTCATTTGTTGTGTTATTGCATTGTTACATGTCATGCATCATATATTATCTTGTTGTGAAAGAGGCGAGTCACGAGTTCAGGGAAGGAATTAGTGACTTATTCCAAGCTCAGAGTGGGGGATCAGAGTTTAGAGATGGGACCCATTTCGTATGAAGAACCATTTGTTGAGTCGGTACCGCATATATGAGTTGAGTCGATTTGCATTACATTACGTAACGTTTGTGCAGATGAGATGTTTGGATGTTTTTGAATAGTCCTATATGGATTCATGTGATTTTTAATGTGATGAATAACATTGTGATTGGTGATTGATTGTGATGTGAGTGAAATATAAATATGTGATATTGTGGTGCATCTTTGATATATGTATGATTTGTAATGTGTGAATCTACCCAAATGTTTACCGATTATTATTTAAATGTATTCTCATCCCGTTTTTGTGTTGTTGCATATGTGATCCTCTAGAGTATAAATACACAGGTACCTGAGTAGGAGCTTGATGTAGAGGATGACGTTGTGCCTCTTTAATTGCATGTAGGTCAAGTCTATAATTGGAGTCACTCTAATATGTAACACGAGAGGAACAAACTGTTCTTTTATTTGTTTTTCTTATGTTTCATATCTTTTCTTTATTTGGATATTGAACCACTTTTCGAACTAATTGTTGTTGAGGCTTTTTATGCCAACTATTTTATAATTCTCGCTGCTTATCAAATGATTCAATGTTCAATTATGTGGTTTATGTATGTTTTGTTGATGCATGAGTAACACTATACTTGAAGAATTTTATATGATATATATTCTTTAATTGATTATTTGTCGAGTCGGGAAGTAAAGTGCTACAGGTAGTTCCTTCGATCTAATGTATTCAGAGTTGTTTGAAAAGATATTTCTTAAGAAAGAAAATTTGTCTATATGAAGGGTCATACTTGCAAGTGTGCAATTACATTTTAGAAGATCTTTTGCGGCAACCCTATATGTCGTACCTTCATCGATGCACCTCAAACTCAAATTCCCCAATCTTCATAGTGAGCCAATTACCATCAATGTTGACCTCGACGGAGCAAAAAGGATCTACTAGGTAATGCAACAAGACCAACGGGATTACAAAGACATGGAAATCAACGTAGATTACCTCACCGACCAGCTAAGAAGCATGACATTTGGCCTCCCGCAGAAAAATAAGTCGTGTCGACCAAAAAGGAAGGAGTGACTGACCCGACGAGCTACAAACCAGGGAGAATAAGTGGTGGCAGGACCATCTGATTATGTTTATGGCTTAATCTATGATGTTATTTCTCCTTTAAATAATTAACTCAAAAAATTTATTTTGATCTCTCTATTATTAATGAACAAAACAAAAGTTCTGCAATATCTTTTTTCTTTGTGATCATGTAAGGTAGCAACGAGTTCAGGGTATTACCGAAGGGATCAAATCCCCAACAGAAATATTTAAGGGCTATGTCATAAACGCCACAAATGTATGACTAAAGCAATCAAAAACCTATAATGCAAAAAAAAAAAAACACACACACACACACACACACAAAGTAGAAAAAATTGCTAAGACAACTACAATCGACCCATCTTCCACTCTTGGTAGCTAGCCACTCTAGAGACTGTTGTGGATTTGCCACATGTAAACCTTGAACCTAGTTTCACCTGGGAGGAAGGGGTACCGACCCTTAGCCGAACATGGCCCTAGAGACATCCATTAAACTTCGAGCGAAAACCTCTTCAGTTGACACAAAGTCCAGAGCAATTCACTTGGGATCAAATGCATGTAACGTAAATAGGTAAAAGCAATATCACAACATAAATTTCATTTACGCACACTTCCTAATGTAGGGTATTACATTAAAAAAATAAAAGAGAGGGACACAACTAATCCCTAAGTGAAACGATTGTTCCATTTTTAAGCATAAGGTATGACCGTACTTGCTTCTTTAAAATACACAAAAGAGAGTGAAAATGTTCCACTTGCAATAAGATTCAATATACAAATAGGTATCATTGAGAATTCTACGTGTCATATCTGGCCAAATAATTTGTTAGATAAAGAATTATGTGCTTTAAAAAAATATCATATCACTAATAATATTGAAAAAAAAAAAACTTATATTTCAAGATTATCTCTGACTTCATCTGACCCTAGAATTCTATTCACTATAAATAAATTTCAAAGTCAATCTTCTTCAAATATTGAGACATATCTTCTAATTCATATATTTGTTATTTTACATGTTACTTCATATGCTATGTTGAAGATATTTATATGCAATGATAAATGACATCACAATTTATAATGTAATATAATTTTCAAACAAATCTTTTAGAATTTGGAATAGGTAAATTATGCATGTAAATATTAGGATCTATTAAGATACTAATTTTATATGTATTTCATTATTCTCAAAACTATAATATAAATTAAATTAATTATATACCTTTTATATTTATAATTTATTGAATAAGTTAATTAAGTATCCATGCATCGCAGAAATCAAAATATAGAAACAAATTTAATAATCTTCATTCCAAATATAACACCTTCCAAATCAAGGTAACCACGACACATAATAGAAACAAGCATATATTAGTAGTAAACAACCCAGTTTAACTAAATTAATTAACGTAGAAGAAGGGTTATGGTGGCATAATTAGTTAGTAAATGAATGGTGGAAACATGAAACACAAAATTAACTAAATCTCTTATTATTAGAATCCTATTTAATTAACCATACCTATCCTACCTTTTCCACTTTCACCTTTCTTTTCATTCTTTTCTCCCATTCTCATCTTTCCTCGGCGGCGAGGGAGTTTCTTCTTCCTATAACTGCCCCCGCCGTCACCTTCACCGCCACAAACAACCGTCAAAGTTTATAATAATTTTAAAATTCTATTAATATTATGAGTAGCGAGGAAGTAGTGTTACAAGGAGGAGGAGGATTAGTTAGCGAAAACGAATTTTCAGATCAAGAAGAGGTTTCACAGGAGATTTCCGATCAGAAACCGCCATTTGAGTTCAAAAAACGAAAACGTTTAACACGGCAGCGATCTATGTGTGGTACTCCCGGCGACATGGCCTGGGAGAGAAGGAGGCGACAAAATCAACGGAGAAGAAATAGTATTCACGATTGTAACGACGAAGATTTGCACGAGCTTAGAGGTTGTATTGAATTAGGGTTTGGATTCAATGAAGAAGATGGACAGAAGCTTTGTAATACGTTGCCGGCGCTTGATCTGTATTTTGCCGTTAATAGAAACTTGTCTCCGAGTCCGGTATCCTCCCCTACACCTATACCTACGCCTCGCCGCTTTCCCCAGAGCCTCACATCTTCGACTATTGCGAGTCCTACCGGAAGTATGATTGATTCTGATTCTTGGAAGATTTGTAATCCAGGTAATACATTTTTTATTAATCATCTTAAACTCATGTTGATAGAAATTCTAAATTTCAATATGCTTCATCTTCCACTATTACATTTTTCTTTATAATTTGAGCTAAATACAAAATTTGTTTATTTTGTCATTGTGCAATTGTGAACTGCAATTTTAATGATTGATAATTTTTTTTACAATGTATTTTTATTTTTATCATATATTTATTTTGGTGATTAAAATAACTAATGTTTGAAATTAATATTGAATGTTGTGGTTGTAGGGGATGATCCAGCTCTTATTAAAACCAAATTGAGGCACTGGGCTCAAGCTGTTGCTTGTTCAGTTATGCAATCTCATTGATGAATTCAAGTGTGTACATCTTATATATATTTTACTTTTTCTTTTGTACAGAGGGGGAGAGATTCTCATTCTACTTAAAAAAGAAAGTTAAAAAAAATTACCAAAAGATCTAAAAGAGAAAAAATGTGCTAATGTTTTTGAGGGTTTTTGTTGGGGTTGAACAAACACTTTGGTTGACTCCAATTTGTATATAGGTTAGAAGGTTATGGTGTTATCAAATATTTCTCCATTTTCTTCTACCTTTTCAATTGGATGTGGAACTATCTCTATAAGAAGCTGATTTATTTCATGAAAATAATTTTGATTTGAGCCTCATGGCAAATAATTTTGATTTGAGCCTCATGGCAAATACTTCTTGTATATTGTCATGGCAAATACTTCTGGTATATTGTAATAATGATAATGATAATGATAATAGTAATGATAATATCAACATGTGCATTGATCAAAGGATTTTAGTTAGACTCCAATTGTATATAATTCAAATGTTTTATTTTTGTTTTCATACAATCACAAATGTAGTAAAAAGTATTTGATACTATGATAGTATTTTTCTTACAACACAATCAGCTTTTACGAAAAAAAATTTGTATCTTTTATGCATGTAAATGGTTGTTTATGTCACCATATAGTTTAGATTGTGGTTTTAAATTGCGGATTGCATTACCTGATGCGGCTGAAATATTGCAGGTAGTATGTAGTATCCGTATCCGCATCAAACAACAATTGCGGTGTGATTGTAAATCACACTAAAAATCACAAGATGACATGTGAAACCAAATATATATATAATAAAGTATACTATTTTATGTTGATAAAAATAAATTTACGTCGCAACGACTGCAATTCGCATCGCAATAGCCGCAACCGTAGTGACTGCAACCGCAATTTAAAGTCATAGTTTAGTTCTTAAGATTGATTAAGCAGAATATTAGTGGAGTAATTAATATGACTTTCCTTAATTGAAAACTCTACTTATGTGGAGTCAGTTAGAGTCGCAAGTCTAAAAATTAAATAAAATATGTTTACGTTTTTTCTCTTTCTTGGTATCGGTTAAATAATAGTCCTTATTTGTTCATGTTCATTAAGACTATTCAATAGTCATAAAAGTCTTTGTTCCAATGTCTGCCTCAGATTTATTATGTCTATTAATTCATATTGAATGTTATTCTGCTCCAAAATAAGATGATAATTAGAGAACTTCCAATTTCTTATAGTGGTTTAAAGGTTCCGATGCGGTGGAGAGAAGATAGTAAGCAGAAATATTTATTGATCAATTATATGAAATTAGAACATCAACACTTGTTGAAAACATGATTTGAGAATAAAAGTTGTCGTTCATTTCACCTTGATTTAGAATCCTGAAAAGATGAGTGATCGGATCTTCCTCTCTATTTCACACTTCCGTTCACAACTCTCAATGAAAAAAACTATAGAGTCGTCAATTCTATTTTAGATTATTGTGATTATGGAAGGGACTTAGCCATTATATATATATATATATATATATATATATATATATATATATATATATATATATATATATATATATATATATATATATATATATATATATATATATATATATATATATATATATATATATATATATATATATATATATATATATATATATATATCTTTCCCATACACAACGACGGTTCCAAGCAAGATGAGTAGTTTATAGTCGACTCAATATCAACGAACCCCTCCCCCCCCCCATTTTATCTTTTTAGTACCGATGGTCTTGTAGTGCACCCTTCATCGAAAGAGTAGGCGGTTGAAAGACCCACCTCTGAATAAATCTTTAGGTTGGGAGATATCAAAGGGGAACCTCGCCTAGCTTATTTGTCCCTGTATTATTCAACTCATCTGTCCACTTATCTTGTTCAAAGCATAAGGAGGATTTGAATATATATATATATATATATATATATATATATATATATATATATATATATATATATATATAGATATAGATATATATATATAAAGATTTGAATATATATATATATATATATATATATATATATATATATATATAAAGATTTGAATATATATATATATATATATATATATATATATATATATATATATATATATATATATATATATATATATATAAAGATTTGAATATATATATATATATATATATATATATATATATATATATATATATATATATATATATATATATATATATATTCAAATCTTTATATATATATATATATATATATATATATATATATATATATATATATATATATATATATATATATATATATATATATATATATATATATATATATATATATATATATATATATATATATATATATATATATATATATTCAAATCTTTATATATATATATATATATATATATATATATATATATATATATATATATATATATATATATATATATATATATATATATATATATATATATATATATATATATATATATATATATATATATATATATATATATATATATTTGAATATATATATATATATATATATATATATATATATATATATATATATATATATATATATATATATATATATATTCAAATCTTTATATATATATATATATATATATATATATATATATATATATATATATATATATATATATATATATATATATATATATATATATATATATATATATATATATATATAAAGATTTGAATATATATATATATATTCAAATCTTTATATATATATATATATATATATATATATATATATATATATATATATATATATATATATATATATATATATATATATATATATATATATATATATATATATATATATATATATATATATATATATATATATATATATATATATATATATATATATATATATATATATATATATATATATATATATATATATATATATATATATATATATATATATATATATATATATATATATATATATATATATATATATATATATATATATATATATATATATATATATATATATATATATATATATAGTCCCTACCCATTATGGGTAAGAGTTAAAGTCCACACTTTTATCCACACCAATCAGGTTTTAGATACTCTACCTTTAGTTAAAAATACCACTTAAGCAATGAATGAACTTATTTATGCACCCCATTAGAATCATGATTAACCCATTTTTCACAAACTAAAATAACAATTGATTGTACCCCACAAAATGTCAGATAAATCTAACATTCTTCCACTTGGGTAAAAACAATTGTGTGATTTTATTTTGTAAAAAACATATTTGAAAATGACTCTCGGATTAATGGCTAATTTTTTAAAATGTGGCCACATTTTAAGAAAATGCATGATTCTAGGTGTAGTATCGGAATATGACTTTGTCCAACAAAAGTCAAACACTATCAAATCATGATAATTATTATATACTTCATTGACATATAACCTTCCATGGTTATAAATACAACTGACTCCGTCAACTAGTCATTAGTGTGGAGTGTGGCAAGAGAATAATATGTTAATGTGATCCAACAACCAAAATTTTATTTTCTTTGTCAGTCCTTAACAATTTATTTTAAATGCCTTAAAGCCAGAGAAATTGCATAGTTGTACAAACCATAATGTCTCAGCTCCAATATAGCATCGACCACCGACATAGTATTCCTGATAACGACGAGCTCAAAATCATATTATAGCTCCAATATGACATCGACCACAGATATGATGGTCTCGGAGATGTCGAGCTCAAAATTATAATCATGCGTTGAACTCCAAACTAGTGTCTACCCGAGGCATTATGGTCCCAATGAAACTAAGTCCCAATTGACATATAAATAAACAATGACAAATAATAATAATAATAATAATAATAATAATAATAATAATAATAATAATAATAATAATAATAATAATAATAATAATAATAATAATAATAATAATAATATCCATTGCATTATCAATTGCTCAAAATAGAAAATACTCGACAACCCAACACTTAAAGTGTTTAAATAAACTACCATTAACCAAGTACATCGAAAGAACTCATAATGCCCAAGTTCTCAACATGGTTTTTAAACAAAATGAACCTAAGTCCATTGGTTAATGGATCAACACGCATTAAATCAGTACCAATGTACTAAAAAATAATGTCTTTTTTCTGTACATGATCTCTAACGATTAAATACTTTAATTCCAAATTCTTAGAACCACTAGAGATTTTATTATTCTTAGAGTAGAACACAATTGTATTGTTATCACAATAAAATTTTAGTGTCCTATCAATGGAATCAACAATACGAAGTCCAATTACTAAATTTCTCAACCAAACAACATGAGTGGCAGAAGCATATCAAGAATTAAACTTTGCCTGTATAGTATAAGAGGCGACCAAAGTTTGCTTTTTACTCTTCCATGATATCACACCTCCAGTCAACATAAAAATGTAACTAGAAGTAGATTTCATATTATCAACACACTCAGCAAGATCAGAATCAATATACCCAACTATTCCCAAGTTATCAACTCTCCTAAAAACAAGCATATACTTTTTAGTTCTCTAAAAATATCTCATAACTTCCTTAGCAGTAATCCAATGATCATTACTAAGATTAGTCTGGTATTGTCTCAAGACGCCAACTATGAAAATAATGTCAGACATAGTGCATACTTAAGCATACATCAAGTTGCCCAATGCATTGTTAAATGGGTTTTCCTTCATTTTTACCCGTTCAATCTCATTTTTAGGATATTGATTTTTACTGAATTTGTCTCCTTTAGTAACTGGAACATCTCCTGGCTTACAATTCTGCATATTGAATCTCTCTAAGACTTTATCGATATAAGCCCTCTGGGACAAGCCAAGTAAACCACGTGACCTATCTCTGTGTATTTCGATTCCCAACACAAAGGATGTTTCACCGAGATCTTTCATATTAAAGAACATGGTTAGCATAAGTTTGGTATCATGGAGTTGACCAAAATCACTAATGCCAAGCAAAAATATCAA